TCCCTCCCTGCTTAAGAAAACAGATGTTGTCAACAAGACCTTCAAGTATAAGACCAAAAAAAGATGCTCAATGAAGATGTCCTGTTAATAGAAGACCTAGAGGATGGAGCTGCTCATTGTTGCTCTGATTTAAGGCTTCCCCTCAAAATTGGGATCAGATGAGTAGCAAAAGTACTAAGGAGAAGTAAAGGGTATGTTGAAGAACTTTTGACAAACTTGGGTGATTTTAAGTCAGCCTACCTTGATAGATTTCCTCCCAGGGTGTCAAAGCAACTAGTTTAATAAATCTTGCAGCCACTGTCAATCTTATGCATATAGGCAAATCATGAATACAGTAGTGTCTACCTTTAACAAAAAGGTAGTGGGGGACCTAATGAATTGCAGATCTGTGAGCCTAACTTCAGTATCTGGGTAGCTACATAAAGCAAACTAAGAAACATTAATTTTGTAAATATCTGGAGGATGAATTAGTCATCACTAACAGTCGATGTACAGTCTCGGAACAAATCGTAACAACTGATTTCCTTCTGAGTGGGGTAACTTGGTGAATAATGAAAATGCATTTGGTATATATCTGGACTTAGCAAGGCTTTTGACATGGTCCCACATACCATTCTCATCTGGACACTGGAGAAATGTGGGCTAGATTAGGATTGCTATTAGATGAATAAAGTCCTTGAATAACCATAAGCAAAGAGAAACTACAAATAGATTGCTGTCAAACTGGCAGAAGGTCTCGAGTAAAGTTCTACAGGGGTTCGGTGCTATTTTAACATTGAGTAATGGTGTGGATGCAGGGAAGGAACCATGTTGATCAAATTGACAGGTGACAAAACTGGAAGGGGTTGCAAACGCTTCGGAGGATACAAGTTGGAATTCAAAAGAATTTTGGTAATTTGGGGAACTGACCTATAAATGACACAAAGGAATTCAACAAACAAATGTAAGGTCCTCTACATAGGGAAAAAGTCAAATATAGAAGTACAGAATAGGGAATCCAGTGGTTAGGCGGTAAGAATATGAAGAATTATTTGGGAATTAAACTCGGCATTAGTCAGCAGTGTGATACTGTTGCATAAAGCAAATGCAGTGTTGGGCTATATTAATAGAAGTATCATATGCAAGACTTTGATAATAATAGGACCACTCAGCTTGCAGCTAGTTAGGCTCAAGTGAGTATTGTGTTCTGTTGGGGCACTGCATTTTTAACAAAGATGTGAAGAAACTGGAGGGGATTCAGAGGTAACATAGATGATATGGGTTGGAATTTGAGCCATTTGAAGAAAAGTTGAAGGAACTAGGTATGGTTAGCTCTGAGAACAGGAGTTTTACGGGAAAGTCATGGCACTTTTTAAACATTTGAAAGACTGCCATTAGGAAAATGGAGAGGGATTGTTCTCCTTTACTACAGATGGCAGGATATGAGGCAATAGTGTTAAATTACAGTATAGCAGATTGATATCAGGAAAAACTTGAGTTCTTAGAACAGTAAGATAAAGGAATAAGCTCCTTGAAGGAATTTGTGGAAATGCCTTATTCTTATTTAGAGGTTTTCAAAAGGAGGCTGGATGGATATTTATCTGGTTTGGTTTAGGAACAGCAAATCTTGCATCTTTGCAGCAGGTTTGGGCTTAAGACCCATTGGGTTAGACCTTACATCAGTTTGACTTTTCAAGAAATTATTGTTACATATTTACTTTAATTTATTGTCCCAAGAAGATCAAGTAACTTAAATAATTGGATTGTTGCTTGCTTATGTGCATGCCGAATATCCTTTTAACAAAGACTGCATTACATTACCATGCATTTAATCAGAATAAATTTATTGATAATTTAATGAGATTATTTTAAAGAAATGTTTGTTGAACCTATATAGTTACTTGAGAGAGAAATCTTGCCTAGAAATTTCACCAGATATCTGGGGTAAAGTGCTTTAATGCAGTAGTGCTCAACCTTTTACTCTTGTGGGTCAAATGCATGGCACAGGGCTGGTGTGTCGTCTGCATGCCAGAATTGGGCCCTGGGGCCTAGCACTGCCCTCCTCCCCCCGCCCCCTGGAACTTGGCCCCAGCAGTTCAGTGCTGCCCCAGAATACTAGGATTGGGCCTCAGGGAGCTAGTGTCACCCCTGCCCAGCCCTGGGCACTAGGATCAGGCACCAGATCCAGCATGCAGTCCTAGGGCTCCCTATAGGTCTGGAAATTTGGCAGTAGGGGAAAAGTGTCACCAATTCCCAACTGCAATATTTCTGGACCCTTGGGAAGCCCCTGTGGGCCAGATGTGGCCTGCAACCTGGGGGTTGAGCACTCTTGCTTTAAGGAAACGGCGCTCAAAGAAAGAAACCTGTTTTGTGTGTTTACTTGTCTCTCAAGGTTATTGAAAATTCTAGAGTAGTGTTGACATTATTAGCAGAACTACATTTCAAACGGGATTACACTGTTGTGGAAAATCTGCTTTGATATTAAAAATAAAATGAATACATTTATGTGAAAATTTGTAAGGCGTTTCTTTTTGGGACAGATGTCCTTGCACAGATGACACAAATCAATTAGCATGTTCTTATGTTTATCCAGCAGTCTAGCTCTCTTCTGTCTACCACACCCAAGCATCCATCTGTCAGTTTATTTTCCCTGTAGTAATGTGTTATAGCTGCTCAAAAATACAGCTATAAAAATGCTTATTAATGTAATTAAAACATCTAGTTTTCTAAAGTGTGCCTGCTTTACATTTTAGTTAGTTGTCAAATTAATAGATGAAAATAAAGGAACCTATTAATGTTTCATTGTATAATAGTACTTACGGTTTTTTTGCCTTTTTACATTTTGTAAAAATACCAACAAAAGTTTGAGCACCAGTCATGACTTTATTCAGCCATCCTATAGTTGTGATTGAGTTGAATGTGCATGAGGTTGGGATTTTAGATTGATTGCTCTCCACAATATTCCTTTAAAAAAAATTTTTTTTAGCTGTGTTCTAGTTTTGAAGAAAACCTTGAAAATGTGTCCTGAACATAAGATAAAATTGTCTGCCGGAGGTTTTTGGCAAGCTTGAAACAATAGCTTTAAGGCATGCTAGGTGCTGTATGCAGATGTTAAATGCAGTGAAAGGAAAGCAACAGTCTTCTCTGAGACATTGTCTTCCATCAAGAAAGGCATTTTTTAACATTGCTTGGCTCTCAGAGTAAGTTCTTCTTCCCTGGTTTGCTTTACTATGTTAACATTAAAGCTACAGCATCTTTGTGAAATGCTAGAATTTAACATAAGTTAACTTTCATGTTAAGTTTTTTAGGGTAGGGTGTGTCGAGGCTGAAGGTGGTGGTTAGTTCACTTCCCCTTTCACAAGCTGAAGTCTGAGGAGGTGGGGACCCCAAGTTTCAAAGTCTAGAGAAGTAGCTGTCGCCGGCGGGGGGGGGGGGGGGGGGAGGTAAGACGGGCTAAGCAAAATGTATTACTATGCTGGTGTTTGTTGTTTTTTTAAATAGCTACAGTGCTTCATTACAGTTATATTAAGGGCTCTTTGAATGCTAAAAGTACTTGGCTGCGTTATGGAAGCTCTCATTTGGGTAAAGAACTTTGTATTCTAATTAAGTTTTAATGTGTATCTGTTAGTCTAAAGGAACATCCGGATACAAATGAGCTATGTGCTGTAACTTACCTCATTTCTGTTTTCCTGATTATCTTCGAAACTGCAGTACCAGCTGCATGCCTTGCTCTTGTTCCTCACTCCAGTATAGATCTCCTCTCCCCTTTATTTTGTGTCTTCAAAAATCAAATTGTCAAGCTCTTTCAGGTCTTTAGTGCTTTGGTCCTGGAACGTAGGAAATAACATGGTTGTGGGGTGAAAATAACACTTTCTAATTTTGAAAGATGTAAATTAAGTATTTCTGTTTTACAATCTTTTGTACAGTGTGCCTCACCAGTTTTGACTGATTTCAGTTTAGGTACTGTTCAGATTAAACTGGTTAAACTGTTCAGATTAAATAGTTAGAGATGTGTGGTTTCAAAAAAGGCTGTTAAAATGTCGTCATTTAATCATCAGTTTAATTGACCTGTCGGTGTTTGAAA